AGAGAGAGGGAGACACAGAATCGGAAACAGGCTCCAGGCTCTGAGCCGTCAGCCCAGAGCCCGACGCCGGGCTCGAACTCACGGACCGCGAGATCACGACCTGAGCCGAAGTCGGACGCTTAACCGACCGAGCCACCCAGGCGTCCCCCCAAAAGATCGTTTTAAATGTGCCTTTAGGGGGGGTTCTGAGCAGCCCCACTTTGGCTCGAAGCTCCTAAGAAAGAGCACAGACTTTGCGCTCGGACAGCCGCGGGGCTCCAAGTCCCGCCCCGGCCCCGGAGCCAACTCAGGCCGTAACCTCCCAGAGCTGAAAGGCGCGGGTGCTGGCCGCGGGGCCAGTGGAGATGCGGAACAGCCCCCACCCGGGCCGAGCCGGGGACCGTCCTGGGGGCGGCTGGAAGGCAGCCAGAGAGGCAACTGTCCAAACCCTGGAAACTCGCAAACCGTGCAGATCAGGAATCTTGTTTCCTGAAAGCCGGCGGGTAAGCGTTTGCCAGAAAGCCCAGGGTACCGTCACGGTCACGGGCAGCCGGGCAGACACAGCGCACCGGGGTGGCTATTTTTACCGCCAGGCTGTTTGTTTCAGCGAGAAGGGTCAGGTCAACAAAATGGTTGGTCGGCTGCCCGCCCCGGGGTCGTGGGCGCCCCTGGCAACTGTCCCCGGGCCGACGGGGACCCGGCCCTGCCGGGACGGCCAGCGGGGGCCCCGGGGCCCAGAGCAGCAGGCTCCTGGCCTCCCCACAGAAGCTGGCCGGCAGCCCCAGGCTTTGGCCACAGTGTCCTCCGGCGTCCGTCCCACGGGAAGCTCGCCGGGGGTGTCTCGGGGTGGGAACCGGCGTCCTCGCTTTTCTGGGGCCCCTGGCCAGGCTGCCGCAGCCAGGGATGCTCGCTCGGACAGGCTGGTGTGCAGGGACCCACGGCCGCCCCAGCCACGCTGCCCAGCCTGCCCCCGGGCTTGGCCCCCCACGACCAGGCCGGTCCTCGGCGGGGCCTCGCAGGAAGCGATCGTGCCCCCTGGAAGCGTCGGGACCAGCTTCCCTGGAGGGGGGTGGGCTGCCTGCCGTGCGGGCGCGGGGGCCTCCCCCACCCGAGGGCTGAGCAGGAAGGGGAAGTGTGGTCTGGCTGGGGCTCACTGCTCCGGGGTGGGCGGGAAGCCCGTGGGCGAGGAAGGCCTCTCCCCAGCTGTGCCTGAGCCACCACACTCGGGCCCCTGCTGTCCCCTCAGCCGCTCACAGATGGACACGCTCGCCACCCAGGTAAGCATCTGGGCTTGGGGCACCCGAGCGACCGCCTGGCGAGGGCTGGGGTTGCAGCTCAGTCCAAGGCTGGGCTCGGAGGGTCCCCTCTGCCCCTCACGGGCTGGGGGACCTCAGATCCCTGCGCCCGTCTGCGCCTCCCCTTCCCGGGGGTAGGTCAGGGCGGGGGAACCTGCCTATCGGGTTGAAATGACACCCGGACGGGGACAGAGACGCATGAACGGTACACAGGCGGTTCCCCCTCTCTGGGTTCTGACGGCGACTTTCGGTGCCTGATAAGCGACGAGACCCGAACGGGTCTGCGTCGGGGACGGGGTGGGCGAGGGGGTGACAAGGCGGATCTCGAGCTGCATCTTGGGACTCTGGCAGGAAAAACCTAGAACTCCCGCAGCCTTGGCATCTCTGTGCCCGTGTCTCTCGTGTCCAGCGATCAGTAAGGCATCCTGTGTGTTCCCGTGGTGGCCGCGGGTCGAGCTCGGCTGCGCCCCGGGGTCAGATCCCCATCCGGCGAACGGCCGCTGCCCGCTGGGAAATGACCTCCGAGGCCTCCCCGTGGTATTTCCAGTTCTATCTTGTCTCGCATCACTGGTCCTGAGAACCACTCCCGCGCCCTGAGCGTGGTAAGGACAAGGCCTGGGGCTTCCTGTTTTGTTTTTAATTGTTTTTTGTTTTATCTTTATTTATTTTTGAGAGAGAGAGCAGGGGAGGAACAGAGAGAGAGGGAGACACAGAATCCGAAGCAGGCTCCGGGCTCCGAGCCGTCAGCACGGAGCCCGACGCGGGGCCCGAACTCACAGACCGTGAGATCGTGACCTGAGCCGAAGTCGGACGCTTCACCCACTGAGCCCCCCCAGGCGCCCCACTTCTTGTTACACTTTAGGACCCTTCCCTCCACCCCTCCTGCCCTCGAAAAACTGGAAAACTCCAGAGAAAGAGAGGAACAATGGCCCCACATTCCGCCACTTGGGAAAAGCCGTGGCGGAGCCTCGCGTCTGGCCTTCTAGTTTTCTTCCCAGGCGTAGACACTGTGAAACATTACCGTTGTCTCGTTTTGACGTGAACACAAGGTAGAGAGGAAATTCGGGCCTCGCTGCCGTCACCCCCACCCACTGACCACACCAGTGCCGTTGCCAGACAGCCACCAGGTGACAGGGCTCCAGAGGGGCCCCCCACACTCTCAGAACCAAACAAGCAAGAAAGCCAGCAGGGGCGCGAGACAATTTGGTTGGACCCAAGGAAGGACTTCTGGGTTGCAGACATCCAGGGATAACTCAGGAAGCCCGAGTACTCCGCAATTCCGGAAGGTTCTGCGGAAGTCAGACACAACACATAGAATGCCGCGGAGACGCCCGAAAAGCCACCTGTTCAGGAAGGGGAGCAGAGCTCTTGAGAGACGTGATGCGTGAGGTCTGGAAAACGTGTTCCGCTCACGCTTCACAGGGAGGCTGGGTGGCAGAGGTGAAAAGGAGTCTTTCCCTCGGTACAGAACCGAGATGGGGTCTCTGTGCTTTGTCCCGGCAGACTCCGGCCACACGCGCGGGCGACCTGCGCACAGGTGGCTGGCTGGGCTGTCCGCACGGGCTGCGTGTGGCTTTTCTGGCGAAGGGGGGCGCCCCGAAGCTCCCCCCCGGGCTGCTTTTCACGGGGTTTTCTCCCCACTGCTTGACTGCTTCATCCGAGCCCATCGAGGGGCCCTTGTGCAATTTCCTCCCAGTCCCACGCTGCCTGTTCCCTGCTTGTTTGCGCCAAAGCCAACATAGTTCTGCATTTAAATTTTACTTCCTTTGGATTACTGGTGAGGCTGGATTTCTAGAAATGATATTACGGAATCAGAGGAGACGTCTGTGTGTTGTCACGGTTTGCTCCCCTGCACAAACCTTTTTTTTTTTTTTTTGGTAAGTTCATTCATTTGTTTATTGAAGCGGACTCGACACCCAACGTGGGGCTCGAACTCACAACCCCGAGATCAAGAGTCACACGCTCCACCGACTGAGCCAGCCAGGCGCCCCTTAAAAACTTGTAACAAAATCTATATATACTGTCAGCGGTCACATGGAAGGATCTGTTTCACCACAGCTGCACCAGAACAAGGTTTATGATTTTTTTTTTTTTTTTTTTGAGAGAGAGAGACTGAGCTTGGGAGCCAGGGAGGGGCAGAGAGAGAGAAGGGGACAGAGAATCCCAAGCAGGCTTCATGCTCCGCACAGAGCCCAACGTGGGGCTCGATCCCACGACCGTGACACCATGACCTGAGCTGAAATCAAGAGTCGGATGCTTCACCGACTGAGCCACCCGGCACCCCTTCACCATTTTTAATTTTTGCTTGCATATAGACGTAGTTTCTTTTTTTAAAAATTTTTTTTTAATTTTTTTTTTCAACGTTTATTTTTTTTTGGGACAGAGAGAGACAGAGCATGAACGGGGGAGGGGCAGAGAGAGAGGGAGACACAGAATCGGAAGCAGGCTCCAGGCTCCGAGCCGTCAGCCCAGAGCCTGATGCGGGGCTCGAACTCACGGACCGCGAGATCGTGACCTGGCTGAAGTCGGACGCTTAACCGACTGCGCCACCCAGGCGCCCCTAAAATTTTTTTTAATGTTTGTTTTCGAGAGAGACAGAACGTGCTTGGGGGAGGAGCAGAGAGAGGGGGAGACACAGAACCTAAAGCTGTCAGCACAGAGCCCAATGCGGGGCTCGAACCCACAAACCTGAGATCATGACCTGAGCTGAAGTCGGAGGCTTAACGGACTGAGCCACCCAGGCGCCCCAGGTGTAGTTTCTAAGTCCGGGCAGAAAGATATGTCAGTGGAGCGACCCACTATGATGGGTGAGAACGAATGAACAGGGTCGAGTCCTGTTACGAAACCCGCGGGACACGAGCCCGGCCCAAGGGCCGCACGGCTCATTCTTTCTTGAAATTGTTTAATGAGGTATAATTAACACCGGGGAAACGTGTCTGTCTTAGATGCACAGTCAACACGTTGGGCAGCAGTCTACACCTTGCCTCTTTCATTTCCTGCGTCCAGGACTCATCATCTGTGCTGTCCTGGGCATTGGGAATCCGCATTTTACGTTTCTGAATGGGGTCCCACTGCGTGAACATCCCAGCCTGTTTTCCCATTCCTCTGTCGAATTCCGTTCTGTCGGTACACGGTTTTACTTGTCTTGGGCTGGGGTCGGTGCGTATGACACGACACCCCCAGGCGCTAAGAATCCGAGCTTGAGCGGGGCAGGAGGGAGAAGAATTAAAAGAAAGGGGGAAAAGGCTGAAGTTAATTTTATTTTATTTTTTTTTTCAACGTTTATTTACTTTTGGGACAGAGAGAGACAGAGCATGAACAGGGGAGGGGCAGAGAGAGAGAGGGAGACACAGAATCGGAAACAGGCTCCAGGCTCCGAGCCATCAGCCCAGAGCCCGACGCGGGGCTCGAACTCACAGACCGCGAGATCGTGACCTGGCTGAAGTCGGACGCTTAACCGACTGCGCCACCCAGGCGCCCCTGAAGTTAATTTTAATAACACATTGCACTGAACCCAACACATCAAAAATATCCTTCCCGCATGTAATCCATATAAACGTTTATTAACGAGATCTTTTATGTTCTTCCTTCCACACTAAGCATTTTTCTTTTTATGTTTATTTATTTTGGAAGAGAGAGAGCAGAGGAGGGGCAGAGAGAGGGGGAGGATGGGGAATCCCAAGCAGCCTCCACGCTGTGAGCACAGAGCCCGACGTGGGGCTTGATCTCATGCTCTATGAGATCATGACCTGGGCCATATCAAGAGTCGAACATCCAACCCACTGAGCCACCCAGGCGCCCCCACATTGAGTCTTTGAGACCCAGCAGGTGCCCCACAGCCTCGTGGTCTCGGGCAGGGCTGGCCTCGGCCAAGGGGATTAGCCTGGAAGCCCTAACTCCAGGCAGCGAGCGAGCAAGGGGTGGGGCCCCATCCTCCGGCGGAGCTGTGTGCTACCTGCCTCGTCCCACGGAAACTTCCCCGAAGCCTCTCCAGCCTCCTAGAACCCCATCCCTCCGTCCCCCCCCCCACACACACACATTCTCCCCATCTTTTGGGACTCACGACTATCTCAGATCATTCCTTTCTCGTGAGAAAAAGTCGAGTTTTTCAATCACGCAGGACTTGACCAGAAGCGTGGGTCTTGAAAGAAACACAGGGCCTCACACCCAATACTTTTTTCATGAGCGAGGCTGGATTAGGGGCGAAAATGCTGGAGCTCCTCAGGGGTCAGAGAGACGTTTCGGGAGACGTGTCCTGCGTGTGGACGTATGCATGGCTGTCATGTCGTAAGCTATTTCTTACGCTACAGAATTTGGTTAAAAAAAAAAAAAAAACACGAAAGGAAAAACCCCAGGAAGAAGCGAGTGTGGAATCAAGCCAGTCTCCAGAATTCTCAGGGGGGGTTGGACTGGGACCTCTGTCGCCGCCTCCCCGGAAATGCCTTCTGGGGAAGTGACAGCCGGGGCCGGGTGGGTGCCTGGGCTCCGCGCCTCCCCCGCGGCGAGGGCGAGGACGTGCGTCACGGGAGGAAAGCAGAGACACCCGCGCGCAGGCGGGCAGGGTCTCGGCTTCCCGGGCCAGCGCCCGATGCCCGCGGCCGGTGGCGGGTGGCGAGGCCAGGCCAGGCCAGGCGGCTGGACGGTTAGGAGGCAGACCCCAAACCGCCCTCCCGCCTGCATCATCGGAGGCGGAGCGCACCTGTAGGGCCGGGAGAGAGGCGCCGGTCACGTTCATCAGCTCGCAGACCCGCACGGAGCGCCTACTGCGTTCCAGGTGACGGCGACAGTGGCAGAGAGATGGGCCCCGCTCTGGGTGGCGGAGCTGACTCGCCAGTGTGGACCGCCGGGAACAAACGTCCGGTAACTCGCCGGAGTCAAGGGACGTGGGCTCACGCGCGGGTCTGCCTCCCGCGCCCCCCCCACCCCCCGCCTCTGCCCAGCACCCAGCCCCTGACGAGGCAACCTTTCCTCGGCCTCAGTGTCCCAGCTTCTCTTGCCTTCTGGGTTTTCATCATTCTGATGGTGGAGCACCTCCCCCCCACACACACACTTAAGCTGTTATCAGTTACCGAGGTCACAGTGTGAATGAGATTCAGAGTCTGTCCTGAGGGCAGGATGACTAAGGAGAAAGGGGAAGAGGGAGCAAAGAGCACTGAGATGGGTGGGGGGGTGACTAGCAGGAGGAGGAAGCCTGGATAAGACAGTCTTTGTTCCTAAATCGCATTCGGTTATATCCTCTGAGGACTCTGGACAAGATCCTAGGATGCCCCAGCTCTGGCCAATGCCTGAGGGAATTCAAGAAAGGAACACAGTGCCCTGAGGACCCAAGGAAGTCATTCACACCCTAGTAAAAATCAGTTTCTCTTCCTCAGAGTCTGGCACACCCAGGCAAATGAGTTTGAATGGAGAGGAAGTGGGGAGAGCGGGGAACTTGGCAGAGAAGTGACTTGTCGATGATGGAATTTGGGGGCATTACGAGAAGCATCTCGGGCATTTGGTTCGGGGGCTTTTTTGGTGCCTTTCCCTCTCCCACCAGTGCTGCTACCGCCTCTGACTGTGGGGCTTCCTCACCTGCCCCAGCTGGGGGGGGCTCTGCCAACTGGCCCGACGGACGTCCCACCCGGAGGCTGAGCCCCCCCGCCCCCCACCACTGGAGCGCTTGTTAAAAATGCTGATCCCGAGTCCGACACTGGACCTACAGATCAGAACTGGGGGCAGAGAAGGGGCCTGGGACTGGCATCTGTGCTTTCACACATTTCCCAGAGCCCCCGTTTGGGGGTCGTGAGTTAGGGTCCTGGAGTCCCAAAGACCTGGGTTTGGTTTCTGGTTTTCCCGCTCACTGGCTTAGTTGAGATCTCTGAGCTCCCATGGTCTTATCTGTAAAATGGGGTGGTAACCACAAGCTGCCGTGCAGGGGATTAAATGAGAGGGGCGCGTAGGGCACCGGGTAGCACACGGTGAGGGTGACTTTTCTGAGACGCATTTTCCTACCGCGGTTGTAATTACACCGAACAGGGCACGGCTGAAGGCTGAGGTCTTGCCACTGCTGGAAGCTCTTGAACGAGGGTTCCGCTTTCAGTTCTGTTATGAAAAGAAACATTTACCAGCTTGGCGGCAGCCTCATGGGGTAAAGTGACCACACGACCTGGCGTCAGACTGCCCTGAGCTGAAATCCTACGTTAGTCCCTTGCGGGCTGTGTTACCTTGAGCAAATCGCTTAACCTCTCCGAGTTCTAGTTGTTCACCTGCAAAGGAAGCGTGATAACTAACACCACCCACTCGGGGAAGGTCATCATCAGGATTAAGAGATAACGTGTAGATCACCGGTTCTCAACCTCGGCCCGCCTTGTATTAGACTCATCTGGAAATTTTTATTACAACAAAGAAACAAACCCCCCAAGGGCCAGGCCCCACAGGCCCTGCAGGCCAGTTAAATCGGAGTCTCTGACACGGGGCAGACAGACAGCTGGGGTCGTCCGGGTCATCCTCGTCTGCATGCAGGGGGGGGGGGGGGGGGGAGCTCAGAGGGAGACGTGGCTACGGAGGAACCACCCTGCGGGGTTCGGAGATGGAGGAAGAGGCCACGAGCCAGGAGCACGAGTGGCCTCTAGAAGCCCACAGAACCAGGAAGCAGCACATCCTGGGGGTGGACACAGCCCTGCCCACGCTTGGATTTCTAGCTCCGTGATGGTGGCATCGGGGACTCGTGACAGGCCCCGCACTCCTGCTGTTGTATGCCCTTGTGCTCCTGCCCCTGCCCGGGGGGCTCCCCTCTTGCCCCAGTGGGGGGGCGGCCACCCCAAAGACGCTTTAGTCCAATTCCAAAACTTTTAAGTTACTTTCGATTGCTGAGCACAATTCGTAAAACGTGGCTCATTGCAAAGCTTCGGTTTCTGACTCAAAGCTGCTCACTTTGCCCCAGTGGGAGTGAGTAGAGGAAGGGGTGGGGGCCGCCTCCGCACCCCTGCACCCCACCCTGCGCCGAGGACAGCCAGACAGACGTTTCTCCATGGGGAGTCTCCCACCAGTGGCCTTTCCTGCTGAGGTACTTTGTGGTTTGGGGTGGAGACTCCACGCCCGGCCCGAGAGGTCCCTTGAGAGGCCCCGCAGCATCTGCGGGCTGATGGCCGACGCCCTGGGCCCCGCGCTTCAGCTCCGGGGAGCCCTGCGCCCCACGGTCCCCTCCAGGCGGCCGACACAGGTGGCCTTCAGCTCCCACACTTTGCGGGGCGTGAGCTCGGTCCCGCCGGCCACCTGCACCCGCTCCCCGCGGGCTGGATCCCCGCCGTCGCTGCCCAGAGCCCGTCCGTGTCCCCTCTCGGGCAGCACCACGGCCACTGAGCCGGCCTGGGGCCCAGAGGACACCCAGCGGGGACAGGACGGGGTTCTCTCGGGACCCTTCTCACTCAGCCGCCCTGTCCCAGAAAGACAAGCTCGTCTGGGTTCTGCGGAGAAGGCGTCTCAGAGCAGTGCTGTTTGTCAGGCCCTGGGCTGTGGGGGAACCTGGGACTTTTATTCCCACTTGTGGGCCCCGGTCCTTCATCCTGGGGAGTCCCGTGGCCCCCACCGTCTCACCACCATGGCTGTGCTCCTTAAAGGAAGGCGTCCCGAACCCCGCTGGGCCTGTCCCCGATGACTCAGGGCATCGTACGGACACCAGCAAGGAAGGACTGGCACCTAGAGGGAGAGCATTCAGCCTCCTTCCTGCCGGGTGACCTTGGGCAGGCCGCTCAAGGACACAGTCAGCGGACAGATGAAAGCGGAACACATTCCAAACATCTGCTGGCAAGGCGCCTGGGGGGGCTCAGTCGGTTGAGCATCCGACTTCGGCTCAGGCATAATCTTCTGGTTCATGGGTTCGAGCCCCATGTCGGGCTCTGTGCTGACGGCTCGGAGCCTGGAGCTGCTTCGGATTCTGGGTCTCCCTCTCTCTCTGCCCCTCCCCTGCTTGCACTCTGTCTCTCTCTCCTTCAAAAATAAATAAACATTAAAAAAAAAAAAAAAAAAGGAAGAAACATCGGCTAGCAAAGCAAAGCCATGCCACACGTTTGTAAGAACAGAACCGCAAGATATGCATCCACTGTGTGGTTCTCAAAAGTGACCCAGGTTTCACTTTTCTGACATCATCCTTCTTCCCTGCTTCTCCAGGGAACTGAGGAGAAGGAAACTTCTTTGAACTTGAAATCGGAGGAGTAGCTTTTCATGGGAGCTACGCTAGACAGTTAATTGACTGGGTTGTTTTTTTTTTTTTAATTTTTATTAAAGTAAATACACAGGGTTTTTTTTTTTAATATTTACTTTCTGGGGAGAGGGCAAGCAGGGGAGGGGCAGAGAGAGGGGGACAGAGGATCTGAAACGGGCTCTGTGCTGACAGGCTGACGGCAGAGAACCCGATGTGCGGCTCGAACTCCTGAACCGAGAGCCAAAGTCGGACACTCAACCAACTGAGCCACCCAGGCGTCCCAGTAAATACACATAGTTTTAAAAATCAAAAAAGAAAATAATAATAAAATAAAAAAATAAAAATCAAGTGATTCGGAGGATTCACGGCAGAAAATTGCAGCCCCCCGTCTCCCCTCGTCCATCCTCCCACCCCGTTGTGCTCTCGGATGCAACAGCTTTGAACTCTTGTGCCCTGGGGTTTACTTTTATAGCCCTAAAGAGTATGTTTAGTTGCTTTTTGGAGAAATCCTTCAAGATTAAGAAAAAAGAAAAGGTAGAAAATATGGAGGACAAACTAGACAAAAGAACAAGGAGATGCACATTTGAGTATGAGAAGAGAGAATGAGAAAATGGGCGGGAGAATATTCTATCTGTTCCTCCATCTGTCTGTCCATCCTTCCTTCCTTCCTTCCTTCCTTCCTTCCTTCCTTCCTTCCTTCCACCCCCAGAGCTAAAGAAGGTCAGGTTCCAATTACGTGTATTAAAATTTTTTTTTCAACGTTTATTTATTTTTGGGACAGAGAGAGACAGAGCATGAACGGGGGAGGGGCAGAGAGAGAGAGGGAGACACAGAATCCGAAACAGGCTCCAGGCTCCGAGCCATCAGCCCAGAGCCTGACGCGGGGCTCGAACTCACGGACCGCGAGATCACGAGATCCCGCGAGATCGCGAGATCGTGACCTGGCTGAAGTCGGACGCTTAACCGACTGCGCCACCCAGGCGCCCCCCAATTACGTGTATTAAACAAAGAGTCCACCCTCAGATATGTGGCATTCTCTTAAGTCCAGTGCCCTGTGACCTCACCGGGCCCTGCAAAACCACATTTCACAGGGTCCTCCTGAGAGCCAAGCCTCCAGTCTCCACGCTTTCCCTTCTCCCCCTTCTTCGTGTGCCTCTGTTGCTCTCTTCTGTGCATCCTGAAAAGGTGATCCACAGCACAGCCTCTGCTGAGTGCACACCTGGGGTGGGCTACCTGGCCGGCCGACACTTCGGTCTTTGAAGAGAGAATCCCCAGGGGCGCCTGGGTGGCGCAGTCGGTTAAGCGTCCGACTTCAGCCAGGTCACGATCTCGCGGTCCGTGAGTTCGAGCCCCGCGTCGGGCTCTGGGCTGATGGCTCGGAGCCTGGAGCCTGTTTCCGATTCTGTGTCTCCCTCTCTCTCTGCCCCTCCCCCGCTCATGCTCTGTCTCTCTCTGTCCCAAAAATAAATAAAAAAAACGTTGAAAAAAAATTAAAAAAAAAAAAAGAAGAGAGAATCCCCAGCACATCTATCACCGTGGATAAATGACGGTGAGCGGAAAGTTGAGCCAAAAAGCTGCAGAATGATGCGTGTACAAGTTACACACGCTTGGTTTTGCACCATGTAACCTGATGAATAGCCAAAAACGTGTTTGATCAAGCCAACCTTCACCAAAGAAACGAAGCTTGGAACTGAAAATCCAAATTATAATAGAACAATGTAATAAATGAGGACACTCTGCCAGTAATACAAACACGTGTTTAAATAGTAAGCCAACGGGCACCTGGGTGGCTCAGTCGGTCAAGCATCAGACTTCGGCTCAGGTCATGATCTCACGGTTCGTGGGTTTGGGCCCCACGTTGGGCTCTGTGCTGACGGCTCGGAGCCTGGATCCTGCTTCGGATTCTGTGTCTCCTGCTCTCTCTGCCCCTGCCTTGCTCACGCTCTGTCTCTGTCTCTCAAAAATGAATAAACAATAAAAGATGTTTTAATTATAAATAAATAACTAATAAATAGTAAGCCAAGTCCGATGGTTTTGTAGGAACAATGGCCTTAGCAGCCCTAACCTTGTCCCTGTTCCTCTGCCTGGGTCCCTGTTTATATCATTAATACTAACGTCACTCAAAAGCACGAATTGGAAAGGGCTGTACATGAAAATACATGCATGAGTTTCCACTGGCTAAGTGATGACACAGGAAGTTGATTCTCACACACCCAGAATATGCCAGGTCTCAAGGATCACGTTTTACTTTAGTAGCCAAACGAACAGGCAAAGCGCCCACGCTCTGGATGAGGGGAGCCCCGCTCCTCCCACAAAGCCCCTGCATTCCTGGAGGCTCCTCCGACGAGTCCATCCCACAACCGCCTGGGGCCTGGCACCTGCTGTCTGTCCTACTTGTCTGTACGTCATCCCTGGTTGGGAAACCACAGCGCACATGTCATTAGTCCCCAGGCTCTGCTCTTACAAGCTTTTATTGTGCAATTGAGTTCCAACACGGTACAGGCAACAGCTTCAGACTGAACATTAGTCACAAGTGTCCCACGGAACTACTAGACATCCTCCCACGGGGACTTTCTAACAAGCCTCACACTTTCTGCACTCTTACCGTTGGCTTTTTTTCCCTCTCTTTCTTCCCCAGCTTCACTGAGGTATAATTGACTTAATAACACCGTGGAAGTTTAAAATGCACAACGTGTTGACTGGATACACTCGTATATGGTAAAACTTTGGTTTGAGAGCATAATTCGTTCTGGAAACACGCTTGTAATCCGTAGGAATTGTGTATCAAAGCAAATTTCCCCATGAGAAATAACGGAGGGGCACCTGAGGGGCTCAGCCAGTTAAACGTCTGACTTCGGCTCAGGTCATGATTTCACGGTTCTTGAGTTCGAGCCCCGCGTCAGGCTCTGTGCTGACAGCTCGGAGCCTGGAGCCTCCTTCGGATTCTGGGTCTCCCTCTCCCTCTACCCCTCCCCGCTCGCAGTCTGTCTCTCTCTCAAAAATAAATAAACATTTAAAAAAATTTTTTTAAAGCATATTAGAAACATTAGCTCATCTTGTGGAATGCTCGCAGAACAAGGTACTCGCAATCCAAGGTTTCACTGTATCGCGAAATGCCCGCCACCACAGCCAATGTCACTCTTTCTTTTCTGTCTTGAGAACACTTAAGATCTGCTCCTGCCAGACTTCTCTGCTTGCTTCCCGAGCTGGCCAGCTTCCAGCCCCCAAATTCCTGTTACTTTTCCCCCATGGACTAACTTTGCATTCACCTTCCCCCTTCTGACCCACGCCTCCCTCGGAGAAACTCATCAAGGTATATTTCTAACCCCCCCCCCCACCAAAAACAGCAGGGGTTTAAGTCTGTGCTGCCCCCTGGATATAAAAGTGATGCAATTAGTTATTGCTTTCAATGGCGTTACTCCCCTGCCCGTTTGACGACCGAAGACAGAGCGATGTGTCGGCCTCCTCCGTACATCTCTGATCTCCGTGCGCGTGGCTCCCCTGGGGAGTGGCAGACGGGTCACTCCCGTGCCACACATGAGGACGCACAGAGTTCGGAGGAGATTAAGGGCCTCGCCTGAGGGCTCCCAGTTGCTGATGGGCAGGGTTCGTCTAAGCCATCACCTGCCTGACCCCTAAGCAGAGGTATCCCCAAAACGTGGTAGACAACGCCCCCCCCCCCCCAGACGCCCCGTTCACGTCTCATATTCCTCTGTCTCCGTTCTTCTCAGGGTCCCATCGCGATGGATTGGTTGAGAGACAATTTCTGGGTCATCCTAGCTGTGGCCATCTTCACTGTGTCCGTGAGCCTGGCCCTCATCCTGTACTGTGCCTGTAGACAGCTGTTTAGACAAGGTAATGGCGGTCTCACCTGGGCAGGTGGAGGGCGGGGAGGGCTGGGGTGGTCATCCGGGCATCGGTGCTTCTTCAAGGCAGAAAGCGTAGTTCTGGGCCTGAATAGGCTGAGTTTTGGATTAAGAATCGTGTATTCTGGGTCTGAGCCTAGCCCTGCCACTAACTTGCATGTCTGGGCCTCGGTTTCCCCATCTGCATGGCGAAGGGAGGGAGGCTTACTAATCTTCAGGAACTCTTGGGGCCCCCAGGGTGTGGGTGGGAGCAGAAACTGTGAGAAGCCACACACTCCTCCACGGCTTTCTCTCTCCATCGTGGCCCTGCTCTCACCTTTGGGACTCAGAAGACAGCACGAGTCCAGAGGATGTCAGAGGCTGTCTCAACTCCAAGCACATCGAGTAGTACGCGTGTTGTATACACCGGATACGCACAGCCTTTTCTGGGTCAATCATTCCCCAACGAAGCAGTTTTCTAAAAAAAACAAAGAAAGACTTTTGAGGCATGAAATATGGGCTTGGTCCACGATGGACACGCTGGCCACCACCATTGCCTTCTCTAAGGTCAGACTCTGAATCTCCCAGAACAACAGCTGCCTTGGCCCCAGGTTCTTGGCACCCTCCACCTTCGTGGAGCCTTTCCACTAACTTAACATCATCTCCAAGGGGGTTTCCACTTTGCCGTCCATCTCCCATCGTCCCTGCGACCCAGGGATGGTGAATGCACCAATCCCCCAGGGCAGTGTGGGCAGGCCACCCTCAGCCACCAAGGCACTGACCTGCCACGGCGTCTGGGACAGCCTCAGAACCCTGCTCGCCGGTCGCCGAAAGGTCCGGGCTCCACAAGGAGTGAGACCTTGTCATCCTCGTCCATCTGTCTGAGAGATAAGAAAGTTAAGGTTCAGAGAGAGGAAGAGGCTTGACTGAGGCCTCACAGGACTTGGTGCCCGAGTTGGGACCAGAACTTGGGTCCACTGGGCTTCCTGTCCAATGTTCTCTGCCCTCAACCCCTTGATGGTAAGCAGTTGTTTTTGTGTTGTTTTATAGATTAAAAAACATTAATGTTTATTTTGGAGAGAGAGAGAGAGAATGAACGAGTGGGGTAGGGCAGAGAGAGAGGGAGACATAGAATCTGAAGCAGGCTCCAGGCTCTGAGCTGTCAGCACAGAGCCCGACCCAGGGCTTGAACTCCTGAACCCTGAGATCACGACCTGAGCCAAAGTCGAATGTTTACTTGATTGACCCACCCAGGCGCCCCTTTTTGTGGTGGTGGGCTTTTTGTTTTGTTTTATTTTTTTAACACAAAGAGTATATTCTGCCTCCTATAGTCCTCTGTCCATCTGCCTCCGTCCTACAGACGAAGTAGGACCCTGAACAAAACCCGGCCCGTTCTCTTGGACCTTAAGCCACCACTATTACCACGGAGGTTAAAAAATGAACAATGACGTGTTCGTCTAGCACGGCCCGGTTGCAAACTGCTTCCCCGGGCTTCCTCTCGCTTCCTCCCAAGCACACAGTTGGTTACCCGTCCCAGGGATGTTTCTGAAAGCCAGGGGTGCACGAGGTGACGAGGAGACAAGCAGGGCCCCCCCGCCGGGCGGCCTGGGCAAGGGCTTGTGGTCAGAAGGCCCGCGTCCAAGCCAGTCTCCACCGCCCGCCAGCCCTGTGCCCCGAAGTCTGTTTCTCCCCGGTGGTTCCTCCCCCACCTGCCCTGCACACGCCCGATATCTCCGGACTTCTAACAGTCACACCTTCTGCTGATTCTTCCCAGATGCTCATTAATGCCTATTTGGTCCCTTAGGCAAGAGGTGGGACGTTGCCAAGCCCTTGGGAAGAGGGCAAAGCGACGAAGAGAAGACGTACGAGTAAGTACAGCGCCCCGCCCCACGCAAGATGCAGCTTTGAGAGCCGCCTGGTCACGTGCGCCCGTGCACCTGCGCGTCTCTTTGGGGGAGGAGCCCACTGCATCTGCGCAGCCCGGGAGCCGGCTTGTCTGCCAATGCCCCGCCCTCCGGGGAGGGGTCTGGAGCTTTGGGGCTGCAGGGCACCTTCCGGGGCTCCGCTCTCCCGGTTGTCTTTGTCTGGTCTAGTTTGGTAGAGGTCACAGGTCAGGCTGTGTGTGCTGGGCCGACCCCTCGCGGTTAGGTCTTCCCTTTCTTTTCTTTCTTTCCTTCCTTCCTTTTCTTTGTCTTTCTTCCTTCTTCTTTCTCTCCCTCTCTCTCCCCCCTTCCCTCCTTTTCTTTCCCTCAAGATTTTAAGTAATCTCTGCACCCGGGGTGGGACTCCAACTCACAACCCTGAGATCAAGAGTTGTAGGCTCCACCAACTGAGCCAGCCAGGCACCCCTACCCTCCTTCCCTTTCGATGGCCCACCAGTGTAGTCCTCTCGAGGCTGTGTGCCTAACGAAACTATGCCATTGGCCTTACTTTTGCATTTTGTGATCTGTTTGGAGCTTCTATGATTGCTGTGTCGGGAGTCCCCAAGATCACCTTTAGGCTTGACGATTCACGAGAAGGGCTCACAGGACCCGGGAAAGCTACAACGGTCATGGTTATGGGTTATTACCGTAGAAGGGTACAGAGTCAACTCTGCAAAGGGAAAGCACATACAGGGTGGAGCCCCAGGGGCAACCAAGCGGAAGCTTCCAGGAGTCTTCCGCTGGTGCACCGTGCTTCATTCTCCCAGCATGGATGTGCGGCACCACATGCAAAGCATCGCCAGAGAGAGTCACCGAGGGTTTTTCCTGGGGGGGTCAGTCACACAGGCAACAGAGCGCCCACACGACCCGCTTTAGCTACTCAATCCCCAGGCCCTTTCGGAGGCCAAGCTGATACACCACATGACCTGGGGCCCCAGGCAAACACAAGCAGGCATTCACCAGCAGTCACCTTGTTAGCAAAGACCATCTAGCTGAACCCAGGCCCAGGTATACACAGACACTACCATCAGGAAAGATAATCCGAGAGCTGAGAGGTTAAGGGCCAGGTGCTGCTCAAGGTCCAGTCCTTTCTTTGGAATGTAATGCGGTGTCTGAAACAATATCTGTGCTTTTCTTTTTTTATTTTTTTTTTTAATGTTTATTTATTTTTGAGCAAGTGGGGGAGGAGCAGAGAGAGGGGGAGACACAGAATCCGAAGCAGGCTCCAGGCTCTGAGCTATCGGCGCAGAGATTGATGTAGGGCTCGATCCCATCAACTATTAGATCATGACCTGAGCTGAAGTCGAATGCTTAACTGACCGAGCCACCCAGGCGCCCCCAAATTTGTACTTTCCTAGAGTGACTTTTGTTGTGGATCCAGCAAATAATAGACCTCTTCCCCACCGGTTCTGACCCCCTTGAGGAGTAAGACAAATGTGTCACACAGGTGAGTAACAAAGTATTGCCTTTAATGAGAATAAACCCGGCGTGGCACAATGGGGCTCTTATCCACCGGCAAGGGCATTTGCTAGTTCAAAGCCAGGCAAACTTTGCGATGCGGGGCGCGGCCTGGAGAGCCTCAGGTCACCCGTGTGGGGCAGCCCCTTTCTCTGAACAGCACAGACTCGAGCACAATGTGTGTTTTCTGCAGTCAGGCTGGCTCTGGAGGAGACAGTGGGAGAAGAAGGTTCTTCCCAAAGGCAGATCAACTTCCCTCCTCTCCTGGGAGCAGCCACGAGGGGTGGACAGAGGCCACCAGTGGAGCTCTTGCCACACAGACCCTTGTCCACGTATCCCAACAGGCTTACGCACCCCCAGGGGCGCTCAACCACATACAGGGGGCCAAAACTTGGCTGAGAACAATCTCTTCCAGTTTGGAGGTCAGAGCACATGGAGGGGATCGTGGGTCTAGGCCAAGAGGCTCCCCCGTGGCCTCTCTTTGTTGGACCTTCTTACCAAAGTATGATACGAATGCAGAAAGGTGTACAAAGTCAAGCAGGGCTCAGTGAATTTCCACAAACTGGACAGACCCAGGTGGCCAGTGCCCAGATCAAGAAACAGAATCACCAGTTCCTCAGTGACTTATATCCCCTTCCAGCCACCATACCCCAAAGATAGCCACTCTCAGAAATAGGAAAGGCTAGTTTTTTCTTGTTTTTATGCTTTCTAGAAATGGAATCAGCCAGGGGCGCCTGGCTGGCTCAGTTGGTTAAGCATCTGACTCTCGGTTTTGGCTCAGGTCACGATCTCGTGGTTGGTGAGTTCAGGTCCCGCATCGGGCTCTGCACTGACAGTGAGGAATCTGCTTGGGATTCTCTCTCTCTCCCTCTCTCTCTCTGCCCCTCCCCTGCTCATGCTGACTCTACCTCTCTCAAAATAAATAAATAAACTTAAAAAAAATTTAAGCAATAGAATCAGCCAGCACACGTTATCTAGGGTTTGGCTCCTGTTGGTCAACGTTTCTGTGCACGTCATTGTGCGTGGTTGCAGATGGTTCGTCCTCATGAATTTATCCACTCCGCGGCTGATGCGCATTTGGGTAGGGTCCAGCTTGGGGTTCACGCTGCCACGAACGTTCTCGTGTGTGTCATCTGGTGGCCACATGCAGGCATCTCAGCAGGATGCACCGAACACGCAGTGACGTGCTGTGTGCGTCCCCGTGTGTGCCGTTAGTGTTAGGAACACGCGTATCTTGCAAATGAAAACACACCTGCTACTTACCTCCCCCCACCCCTGCCCTCTCCAGCTCCGGGGATTCCAGGAGGACGCGCTCCAAGCAAAGTCCCTTCCTTCCCTCAAATCCAGCTGTTCCCGGGGCTGGAGGAAACAGTTTCTTTACAAACGGGTACGACACCTAGAGAAGGACAGAGTGCCTCCAGCTTTTAGGAATGAAGGTTTCAATGTTCATCCGTTTTCTGATGTTTTCCTTTCGTAGGCTGACGGACACGCTCAAAACCACAACCTGACTCCTCCTCTTTCTGTCTTGCCAGGAATGTTCTTAATGAATCACCAGTTCAGTTACCCCCTCTGCCGCCCAGGGGTTTGCTCTTCCCAGAACACACCCGTAAGTATCTGCTGCTGGTGACATTCAGGGCAGGGTAACAAATTCATCTAAATGTCTTAGCTCAGGGGCGCCTGGGTGGCTCAGTCGGTTAAGGGCCCGACTTCGGCTCAGATCACGATCTCGCGGTTTGTGGGTTCGAGCCCCGCGTCGGGCTCTGTGCTGACAGCTCGGAGCCTGGAGCCTGCTTCCGATTCTGTGTCTCACTCTCTCTCTACCTCTCCCCTGCTTATGCTCTGTCTCTGTCTCTCAAAAATAAATAAGAACTGTTTAAAAAAAATTGAAAGAGACAAATCAATTAAAAAGGGGGCAGAGCAAATAGCAAAGCTCCTGATGGTCAAGGTGTACGTTCATATTCAAATCCCAGCTCGGAGCACGAGTAAGAAGGAACTTGGGGGGTGTCACCGGGACTCCCCCACTTTGCATCAGAAAATCCCTGCCTGGTTCCCTTGACCGGAATGTTCTTCCTCGAGCTGCCCATGTGGTGGTGTCCTTTGTCCTCCCCACTGCCACGCGGCCACTGCCGTCCGCCCTCTCTAAAGTGAGCCCGCTACCTTTCCTTTCGAAACGTGAAGGCAGTTACCCAACCTCGTCTTATCTACCTGCTGCTCGTGTGTTTAAGATCTCTCTCCTGCCCTGGAACAGAAGCTCCGGGAAACAGGAGCCTCTCGTCTTCCTCACCACGGTTTACCGGCCACTAAGAACAGTGCCTGGAGGTTAGGAGACAATTCAGGTCTTGACCGAACGGACACATAATAGCTTACATGTATGGGGCAGCCCCTGTGTGTCCGGGCCCGTGTGACGCACTTCACAGGCACGATCTCCTGTCGGCCTCTCAACAGCACTACGAGGCAGGCACATTTATTATTCCCCTTTGACAGATGGGGACACTGAGACACACAGAAGTTCAGTGTCTCACCCAAGGCGACACAGCGAGTGACTGCTGGAGCCTGGATGTGAACTTGGGTCTCCCTGCGGGGCTGTGCAGGGAATGACGGCAGTCTTCTTCTCAGGTCCACTTGGGAAAGACAGAGTCGCGGCAGAGGCTGCGGCGACCCCATCTGAGGGTCTGAGGTGTAGCTGCCGTTTTGTCTTCCTTCCCGCGGCCACCTTGGGGCTTTTGCTACGTGTTCCCTCTTCACTCATTCTACCTTTTGCAAACCCCGCTGTCCCCTTCCTTCTGAGCAGAGATTCGTGCCCGAGCAATCATGGAATGTTCTGGAAAACACTAAGTCACTGTGAGGGATGTGCCAAAAAGGAAACAAGCTTCGTATCGCTTCCTCGTGAGAATGAGGGTCTCCCATGACCGTGCTCATTCGGGGACTGGCTCGGGTCAGCGTGCCGTCTGCACCTCTGCTTTGCGTTTTCTGTGTCGTGCGGGCTCAGGCAGGGGGACGTGGGAGCCAGGGCGTCTGACTGCCGTCTGCCATTCACCCACTCGGCTGATCCTGAGACGGTGTCCTGTCTGTACAACAGTGTCCCCCATCAAATGGGGAGCTGGTCCACCAGGAAGTAGCCAGACCACCCAAGCCCATGAAAATCATGCTGAGTCACTGAGTCAAAAATACATATGGGGGCGCCTGCGTGGTTCAGCCAGTTGAGCGTCCGACTCCTGGTTTCGGCTCAGGTCATGATCTCACGGTTTCGTGAGTTCAAGCCCCGCGTATGGCTTTGCACTGGCAGCACGGAGCCTGCTTGGGATTCTCTGTCCCTCCCCCACTTGCGCTGTCTCTGTCTTTTTATATATATATGAAAACACACAGCAGCTTGGCCTGCAAGGACCTTTTCGTGTGCTCTAGTCCCACAGGACACCCCGAGCCAGCCGCCGGCCACATACTCGCTGGTCAATAAGGTCAGAAATAAGACCCTCTCCATCCCGAGCTACATCGAGCCTCTAGATGATTATGATGATGTCGAAATCCCCGCAAATATGGAGAAGCGTCACTTCTGAAACACCCGTTTCTCCTTTCCGGCGAGCTGAGGAGGGTTCACGCGGAGGATTGCACGCCAATCGAGAACGGAAACCCCTCGGTAACGGGATCCTCAGAGCCGGCGGTAATGTGGCGCAGCCGTGTAAAATAAACATTTCCTGAGGCTTCGACGGAGAGGCACCAGCGGCCACATGACCTCCCAGAGGAAAGGGGCCGCAGCTCTGCCCTGGAGACCCGGAGCGGTCAGGCCTCCAGCTACTGTTGAGGGGTGCCCCTGGGGTTCCGTGGCTCCCACTCGTGACAAAGCACCCCGTTCTTGACCCCCCCCCACCCACCTCCCCTTCTCTTGTTCGGTTCTAAGCGATCCCAGCTCTTGGTGTTGGACTCTGCAGAACACCCAGGCTCTCATCCCCGGCTGGGCCCCACGGGCCCACCCAGCTGCCACACCCAGGGCCGTGGGTGGGAGATCCGACCGAGTGCTCCGGCTGAGTGCTCCCGTGTGCAGGTTACTACATCACACCCGGCAGGCTCTTCAAGGGTGAGTGGTGCTTTCTGTTCTTGAGAACTGTCCCCACCTACACACACCCCACACCCCAGCGACCTGCCCCCCGCCCCGTGATGTGGGCCAGGCGGACCGCGGAGGTTCAGATGCTCACCCAGATTTGTGCTTCCCGGTAACGTGTGACGGTCCACAAAGTCACATGCGGCCTTCTGGACCCAAGTGCGTAAGTTACACGTAGCGGTATCGTTTCGCAGTACGTGTGAATGCGGAGCGGGGGCGGGGGGGAATCACAGGGAACGGGAAACAGAGGGACGATTAAATGGCAGATTCAAGACGATGGTTTGAGGGCTTCATGCCCCCCCATTTTACGCTCATGACTGCTTCCTCCCCTGCGTACATTCCCTGCATACGGCCCCGAGATCACCGTCCCCAGAACCCCTCAGCGTTGCGGCGCTGCTGACGAGAGGCAGGGTAGAGGACCACGGTCCTGTTCAACAAGTGCCCTGGTCCCCAGGGCCCAAGTCAGCTTGGAGGCTCCGGAAACTGGCGCTGATCTGCTGGAGCCCCAGGACCGGAAGCTTCCGAAGCAGACTGGAGATGCTGGTTTCCCAGCAACCCCTGGGAAACCCAGCAACGAGCAGACTCGCAGGGAGAGTGCCGTGAACCACAGAAAGGCCCGAAGTGACCCTGGGACGGGGCTCCTTTGCAAGAGATGGACGGCGGGCACCTGGTGCGCTCAAGCTTACCGCCTCAACCGCTGCTGGACCAGTGGGGACATGTGCTTCCTCCGGGCTCCGTCTTCCTGGATTCCACGGGGACGTCCAGCTTCCTGTGTTACCACCACCTTATAGTAGGCCGGGGGTTCCCTAACCGCAGCCGTGTGGAACTCTGGGACTCCGTAAGCCAGAGGGGACTCTTTCCTCCAAGTTCTAGGGGGGAAAAAAAAAAGCCCACGCACAGAAGTGTTTCACTTGTGTGGCTTCCTCTTCTAAATTTTCTGAAAACCACCCACATCTATGACGAGAGTTAAAAGCAGATACTAGACATGTCTTCCTCAGGCCCTTCCCGTCCCGGGACGCCTGGGGCTCAGCGTCCCTCTATTCTGACAGCTTCCAGATGGCAGGCTCCAGCTGAGCCTTCTCCTCAGTCCCAGGCTGGCTGCCCCCAGGACACCCCTGCATGACCTCCCGACAGGCCCTCAAGGTCAACACACCCCAGAAGGAACTGATGGCCCACCTCCCCCCCCCCCCACACACCCACCACTGGCATCTCACTCTCCGGTCCCCTTTCTGCACAGCTTTCTAAAGGGAACATCTAACCACTCATTCTCTTGTTTAAATCTCTTCTTCACCCATTGCCCTCAGAAAAACACCAAACTCCTTAACTTGGGTTACGAGATGTGTCAACTTCCCCTTACAACTTCCACTCCGTCCAAACTTTTGCTCCTCGGGCCATCTGAAATGACCTGGTCTGTGGTAACCTTCCCTCTGCCTAGAACATCTCTCCCCACCTTCTCCCCCTTCCCGTCTCTGCTCCGAGTCTTTCCTCAGCACCCAAAACTTGAGTGTGGTGCCCTCTTTGAGGCTCTCTTCTCACAGCAGGAGCGCCCTGGGATAACCTGTTTACCTATCCTTCTCCCCCGCCTCAGACCGAGAGTAACGTGGGGACAGGGACTGGGTCTCTCTTTCCCCCAGGGTTTTCTCTGTTCCTAGCACAGCACCCAGGTGCTTTGTGGATGCTCGACCTGAGCCAAAGTCAGCTGCTCAACTGAGCCCCCCAGGCGCCCCCTTTCCATCCTTCTTTCTAATTTGGGGCTCCTCTCGGGTGGAACTTGCCTGGCTCACGGCTCTACTCCCAATACCCAGCACAAGCTCTGGCACATAGTGGGCCCTTAGTAAATGTGTACTGGGCATCGCACGTTACTAGAAAGCCCACCAGTCGGTTTGACAAAAGCAAGCAGTTTTTCTCTGAGCACGTATGATTAGGTTGAGAGTTCATCCTAGGCATGGGTAATAAAGCCATATTTTTGCCAGTCTGGTTAAAAAAGATGTTAGCATTTTGGATGACAGCATTAAATACAGTAAGATTCGACAAGGCCTTTTTGTGTATTCTAGTCCCACAGGAAACCCCAGGTCAGCCATCAGCTATATATGGACAGATAAATAAAGGAAGAAATCAGAAGACAGTGTCCATCCTGAGCATATGGAGTCTGAAGATCATCATTCTGAAACTCCTGTGCTCTGCCCTCTTAACTTCTCTGAGAGCTGATGGTGTGTTCCTATCAGAAATGGGTAGATTATAGTTCTCTTTGAAACAGTCAAGCTGATCTTTATGATACAAATAGGATTGTTTGCAGGAAATGCTCTGGTGTTACAGTAACACATTTTACAAATCATTTGTATCAGTTAGTACGGTTAGATGGCAAAACACAGACTGTACAATAATGAGGAATGTGTCACCACACACAAGAAGTCTAGAGGTAAGCACTCCAGGATTCAGCAGGTCTAAGACTCAGGAGCACCGGGTGACTCCTCTTTGATTCTCTTCGTGTTACTACTCATGCTGACAAGGTAGCTGCCATAGCTCCAAGCATCACATCCTCACATGGTAACATTTGAAGTTAGGAGAGAAAGGGGCATTTCCTCCCAGGTAGCTCTTTTTTACTGGAGAGAGAATCTTTCCTAGAAGCCCCAGACGACTTTCCCTAACGCCTTACTGGCCTGGATTAGTGCACGTGCCCAGCTAGGGGAACGGCCGGGGAGTGAACATTGGGCATTTTCAGCCTCCCAAGCTGGAAGTGGGCTTGGCCATCCAAGAAAAAGGAGGCAAGAGCCGCTGGATAGGCAGTCTCCCCGGGGCCAGCTCACTTTCACAAATAACGCTGTTGAGTATTCGCCTTTGTTTCCGTTACAATTTCAGAGGTGTTAGGGGATTCAGGCTAAAGGCTGGTGTCCAGATTCCACCACTCACCTTTCTTCTCTTATGGGGTTTTGACAAAAAATGGACAGAGGACTGGCGGTCAGATGGGGATCATAACAGTAAAGGCAACAGAAGGAGTGCTAGTCTGGTCGAGCTCTGAGCGTTTCACTCCGATGGGCCAGTTCTCACCTGCCCTCTCTGGCAAAATCCCAGGCGGGTCCCATTGGCTGTTCTGGTCACCCTCAGGTAATAAAAGGCCTCCAGGTGTGGATTACACAAGCATATGCATTTGTCAAAACTCCAGGAATGCACACTTAAGGTTTCCGCATTTCGGGGCACCTGTGGAGGGGGGTGGGGATGCTCAGTTGGTTGAGCATCAGGCTCTTGATTTCCATTTCGGGTCATGATCCCAGGGTTGTGGGATCCAGCCCCGTATTGGGATCTGTGCTGGGCATGAAGACGGCTTGGGATTCTCTAAAATGAAAATGAAAATAAAAATATACTTTAAAAAAAAAGAGATTTTTGCATTTCAATCTGAGTAAATTTTACCTCAAAAGAAAAAGTGTAAACAGACGCTCCGCTATGCTTAAGGACCCGTACGCTGCAGTGTTTAGGGGAAGGTGGAATGCTGTTTGTAATTACCTTGAAATGCACCCGAAGCCAAGGCCGCTGTAGAGCCGGCACTTCAGCCCAGAGAGTAACGTGGAGCTCCACGCCACCACCCCAAGCACAGGCAGGTCGGGGTCTGCAGCGCCGGCTGCCTCCCCTCTGCCCGCGCACTTCCAGGCGAGAGGGAACGGGAGAGCATCTTTTGGCACAGGGCTCAGGGAGGGAGGCTGAAGCCGGCCTCCCTCTCGAGGCAAAGCAACTCCGTCCATACTCTCAGCAAATGTCTCAGGCTCTCGGCGGCACAAGACTCCCTCCCGACCCAGGAGGAAGCTCCCTGACCTCGCTCTGCGGCCCTCTCCAGAGGGGTGGTGAGCACGCAGCCCAGCCGCAGGCCTGGAAGCCTCTGCCGCCGCCCTCCGTGGGCGCCACGTGTGCGGGGCCTCACCACGCCCACTCCCGCCTCGGGGCTCGAGCATGTGACCCGGCGTGGCCAATCAGAGGTTCTCACTCCCTCGGGCGCAGAGACTGATTGGTTGATGCTGTTGGGAGCGGAGCAGGTGCTCTCCGCCAGAGGGGGTGCGAGTGCGCAGGGTGGGCCCCGCTGCGGAGGTCCCGCCCCAGCTGAGAGAAGGGAAGGGTCCACACCCGAACGGCTCGCTTCCAGCGCCTGTCCGCAGCCCTGCTTGGATGTAGGCGCGACCTCCGGGT